AAGTTTGATAATTCCAATTATATGATTTTGTTAAAATATGAACAGTATTTTCGTGAAAAATTAACGAAAAATTAAGAATATTGCGAATATTGTAAAACAATCACTGTACGAAAAACCATTTTGACTATGTGTGTAATTTTGTATATATGTATATGCATACATATTTAGGTATGTAGAGCTTTAATAAGTTATATTACACTGATAAAGTCATGAATTTCAAAATTTCACTTAATATTACTTCCAAAATTACTTGTACAAGTGCTATGTAAAAATATTTGTCATCTAGAGGCGAGCGTCCGCTTGTGGGTGTCACCATAATATTGTTATAACTTTAGAACTACTTGTTGTCTAAACCTGAAACTTTCCCGAAAATGTCCGTATATATTTGTCTTTAATGCTGTATTAAAACAAAACAGAAATTTTAAACTTCATAACACAACTTTTGCATTTGTAAAAACCACCTCCTTAATTTTTATAAAAATGTTACAGTAGCCGCCATTTCGTTTTAAATAAGTATTAAGAAGTGCAGTTAGACTCATCTTCTTCAGAATAGAATCTATTCTAATGTGTACAAATTTCAACTCAATCGAATCATAAACGTCTGAGATATAGCGAGTTTAAATGAAAATTTCGCTAAAATTGGCCGCTGTGAAAAATCAAGTTTTGTGGCTTTTTCGGCTTGAAGCAAAATATCGCCCTGCGACGATATGCGCAGAGAGAGGCAATTTTTATTTCGCGGATTGCACGACCTTATATGTATAGATCTTGCTTAAGCACGACTATTTTCTTCTATGAGAGAAAACATCGAGAACAATTGAGATATTTGACCAATCGAGACAATCGACTTAAACATCGCGGACTCGCCCATCACTACAGTCAACTTTGCCCAATCCACATGAAGGGAGATCCCGATGTTTGCGCCAATTATCGCGGAATAAGTCTTCTTAATATTGCATTTCTGTCGACGATACTGTGTGAAAGACTGGAGCCATTCACGAACCTGCTAATTGGACCATATCAGTGTGGCTTCAGACCTGGTAAGTCCACCATTGACCAGATTTTCACAGAACGTCAAATCCTGGAGAAGACACTAGACAAGCAAATCAACACACACCATCTTTTTGTCGATTTTAAAGCAGCTTTTGATAGCACGAAGAGGAGCTGCCTCTACGACGTCATGTCCAAATTTGGGATCCTCGCAAAATTAATACGGCTATGTAGAGTGACGTTGGGCACAACCTTCAGCTCCGTCCGAATTGGGAAGGACCTTTCAATCTGATGCTGGAAAGCATAATAAGAGCTGCTAATATGAATCGCAGCGGCACAATATATAGCAAAAGAACGACGCTGCTGGCGTATGCAGATGATATAGATATCGTAGGTCTGAAATAAAAGGACGTAACCGCAGCATTTTTCAGTTTAGAAAAAGCAGCTAAATAGCTTGGTCTAGCAGTGAACGAGGGCAATACAAAGTACCTCCTTGCAACATAAAAGAGAAGTAATAAATATTTCCATTTGTTTATGAAAAATTTGTATAAAAATTAAAAAATATATACAAAATAATGATTATTTGAAAAATTTAAACAATCAGGCAAAAGCTTGTCTAATTAACTATCATCGTGGAAAAAATAAGCAAGATACATGCTATGAATCATAATAATAAATTATTACTGAATTCATCAAAAAAATTGAATGTTAATATTAATAACTCTTGTAAAAATTCGAATTTTGCAAAATTGCTCAAATTATATTTTTTTTTTATGGTTGTAAACCGAATAAAGTGATTTGTGCGAAAAAATCCTGACCATCCAATTTTCGGTGGCCCACTTGACAGATTTTCACTCATATGCATCTTCATCACGCTCTTCGTGCGTCTTTGTACTCTACCAACAAATGCCAGCTTATAGATTATTTCGCGCACAATCCGGACCGGTTCCGGTAACACGGCTTAACAAAATTTGGTCGTATTTTATTTCAAAAACGGGGCCGACTCATTTTATAGATTTTTTTATGCTAATTTGAAATGCATTTAAAAAAATTTTCTAACACGCCCAGTTTTTTAGAAAAAAACTGTTGAAGTGTCGAAAAATGGCAAAAGTGACAAATTTCAAAAAAAAATTAATAATAGAATTTGTACGTAGTTTTTCCGAAGAAAAAAACACCTATTAATGAAAATCCAATTCGTCTGCTGGATTCTACCTCATGTCGATGAATTGATTAGAAATAAGTTAAAAATTAAAAAAAAAAAACTCAGTTCTACAATAGCATGCACTTGTTTTCCTACAAATACGAAAATATCAATCTATGAATTTATTTTAAAAACAAAGTGATTTCAATAACAAATCAGCATTAAAAAATCAGAATCCGAGATAAATCATTAGCCAGTCTTTTGTCTCTTAACACCTTCCGCGATCTGGAAGACGATCCTGAAACATTTTCTTTTGTGGATCGCATTATCATCGCTTTTCAAGTTCCAGCAATAGTCAGCAAGCTTGTGGAGGTTTGATTTCCTATCATACCGCTTCTCCATAGTGGCTATGTCCTGGTAGAATCGTTCGCCATGTTCTTCGCTAGTATTTTTTTTTAGTTTTTCACCCCTTTCAACTTCATCCATCGACTTTTCTTCGGGAATATTTTTCCACACTCAACAGTTTTTTACTCAAAAACTGGGCGTACTAGAAACATTTTGTAAATGTATAATTAGAGACTAAGCGAAAAATGGTACAATGTCCAAAAGTAGGGAAACGCAAAAAACCACATTTCGTGCCCAGAATTAGAGAAACAGTTGATTCACGTGGTGTTTATTGTTGGCACTTACGTAAGTGCAAACACTTGAAAATTTAATTTTGGCTTCATAAATTCGATTGTATTAATAAATAAGTATATAAGGAATGAAAATACTTCAAGAGGAAATTCATTATTCCTTAAAAGCACAAAGTAAATGCAAGCAAAATGCAAACACAAAACAGCCGATATGCACTTTGACACTTTGCTCTNATGCAAGCAAAATGCAAACACAAAACAGCCGATATGCACTTTGACACTTTATTCATTTTTACTCGGCGAAAAAGTCCGGGCTCTTTCGGGTAGGAAGAAGACACTTACGGGAATGGTTTCTGGGCTGTTTTGGGATCCCGCGGGATCCCTCGTTGAGTAAGGGAAAGAACCTATTATTGTGTCAGAAGATTTAATTCCAAGCAAGCTTCGAAAGCCGTTGAAACCGTCCTGGTGTCCTGATTCGGTTGGTATCTGTTGTATTTTTGTATTTTTAGCAACTGTTCACTCTAATATTCGAAAACGCCTCCATATAATCAGATTGCACTTCTAATGTAATTTCAAATATGTATGTATGTACGTATGTACTAGCAATGTTAATCCAGGGATCCCGGCATTTTTAAGGTCCCAAAAATCCCGGGATTCTTGGCAAATAGTTCCGGGATTTTCGAGATTTGTAATTTGCACTGATGGCAGTAATAAAAACTCCTTTTCTTGACCAGTATTGGCTATATATTCTTTTTTTATTTAATAATTAATATTTTTTTATAAATCTCTAGCTCATTACACATATAACACCGCGCGATAGTAAATTGTAAACACAAATATCAATATATTCGCGAAATCATGGGGCAAATATAGTAAAATTCCGTTTTTAGTTTTTCACTCTGACATCAGTAATTCAAAAATGATTTCAAAAATTCAGAGGAATGTACCGAGAGAAGAGAAGTTTTTGGTGCAGAAGGGCTGGTAAGTATTAAAAATGTCCTTTTAAAATTTTATCCTTGAAATTTTGCAATATTTGTTTTTGAAAAAATTAGATGTTAAGGACTTATATAAACTCGATAACATCCTCGAATTTCGTCATTCTAAGTTTACCAGCTTAAAAAATTACCTATTCGTCCTTGTGAATCCAAAAAATTTTAATCTTTTTAAATTCTGTAGAAATTTCCTCTTGCATTTGGTACCCATATTTTTATTCTACATTGCATTGAATTTTTTAAATAATTTTTGGAATTAATCATATCTTTGAAATTACAAGGTCTTTAAAAATAAATGTTGACGTCAGTGAGAAAAAATAAAAACGCTACTTTAAATAAAAAAGTAAGTTTCAAACCCATTTATTTACTATTTATTTTATGGTAGGAGAGCTTCTCAAACAATATAGAAGCAATATTCCGATTTAATGCCGGGATCGGGAAAAGCTGAAAAATTAACATCCCTAGTATGTACATACATACATACATAAGTTAAACAGGTTAGGAGTACATTGATGTTTATAAGAAAAATTTTACAGCTTAGGTAGTATTTTATAAATTAATTTTTCTGGTCAGCTTAGGTACTATTTTGGCGAACAGCCTTGCAGGTACTTTGTGTCATAGTTGTTGTTACTGTTCCTTATTCTGAAGAGTTCGTATGCAAAGAAATTGCAATAGAAAAATACACTGAAAGAACTCAACTTGGAGCGGCTATAGCGAGCTAACTTTTCAAAACGCTCTTAGGGTTTTGTTACCGTTGTGTGATGTTCAGTTTTTTTAATTTTTCGAATTATTATAAATCTTGTACAAAGTTTAAAACACTGAGTTATATGGTTTTCGCTGTATTATGAACAACATTTTGCAAAAAACTAAATTAAATCTAATAAAAAAATAAATGGCAAGAAGTACTATTTAGAAAACTTAACTTAAATTGTATGAGTTTAGAAAGCTACATATGTACATTCAAGGAAAAATATGCTTGAGATATGATTTAGTTTCTACCGANGTATGAGTTTAGAAAGCTACATATGTACATTCAAGGAAAAATATGCTTGAGATCTACCGAAAATGCAACCTTCTCTTTGCCCTCCACGCATAAACACTAAGAAAAGGGCGATGAGAAGGCAACATTTTTTGTAGAAACGAAATCACCATTAGATTTTCGAACTTAAGAATTCTGGGCGTCCACTTTATTAACCAATCTTTTTCTGTTCGCTTTAGTACTGTTCAATGTCCGGTTATACTCACATAGCGGCGGAAACTGTGGACGGTAGTTGATTTACCACTGGTAAATTTGGTTGAGCGGTGCTTTCTTTACCATAATTCGGCAATGGCTTACGATGTCCTCTAGGATTTGTATTACTTGTATTTTCAGGTGTCACATTTCCATGTAAAGCTTGTTGCAGAAGAACTGTGTTGGTCTTAGTTTGTTCTTGTGGTTTCTGGAGCTGATATTTTTGTTGTAGTTGCAACTGTGGCTGTTGCATTTGTATTTTCTGTGCTTGAACTGGTTTTCCTTCTTTATCTTCCCCATTCTTATCCACGGATTCATCAGTCTCAGCATCGTCATCGTCGNTGCAACTGTGGCTGTTGCATTTGTATTTTCTGTGCTTGAACTGGTTTTCCCTCTTTATCTTCCCCATTCTTATCCACGGATTCATCAGTCTCAGCATCGTCATCGTCGTCATCATCATCATCATCATCATCATCATCGTCATCGTCATCACCATCGTTGTTGACTTCATTGTGTTCACCGCTATTATCGTCGTCGTCATCATCATCTCCTTCGTCATCATCATCTTCATCATCGTCGCCCTCATCATTCGCATTATTTGTTTGCTGTTGTTGTTGCAATTGTAGCATTTTTTGCTTTATGAGATTGCTGTTAGCAGTCATTGCCACCTCTTCAGTGTGCACTTGTTTGTCCGCCGCTAATGCATGCGCCTCGGAGTAGATTTCTTCCCTCGGCATTTGCACAGTTCTGCTATGGGCTTCATTATTTTCCGTCTGCTCTTCCACTTGTCGATCACTTTTTCTAGCGCAACCAGATGCAACGGCTTCATCTCCCTCGGACTCATCACTCTCCGACTTCTCTTGCTTGACCACGCGCTCAACATGAGCGAATTGATCTGTCTGCTGCGCAAGAGAATATGCTTGCTGTAGCTGCTCAGTGCTATCTGCTACCATGGGTTGAGCGATGGTTTCATCGCCCTCTTCACCATTATTGGTGTCTATGACGCGCTCATGGAGACTAACCCCGTTGACAAGGCTCTTGCGCAGGCGCCAGGCAAATGTTCTCGAAATATTCAACTCGTTGGCTATGACGGTAGTAGTGGCTTCGCGCAAAATTAATTGCTTTGCCAAAGCGATTTTTTTGGAATCCAGCTTGATTCGAGTGCGCCCTTTACGCTTGTTATTGACCATATGAAGTCTGTTAAGGAATATAATAATTTAATTACCGTAAATATCCATCTACAGAATTTCCACTTACTTTCTATTGTGCAGATAAAGAGCATTTTCCGGTTTACGTATGCCAGCACGTTTGGGAAAGTTGTTGTATTCCACTATATTCTGTTTTAGAAGCTGCTGCAACGGCCTGCAAGTAATAAGTACAAAACAAGAATACATACATATGTATTTGCCTCGAAATGGTTAACAAGGACAGTTTTTTTTTAATCTTAATTCAATTTAATCTACATTTTAGCAGCTCGTGAAGGACAGCCCGTGCGTTTGTGCCAGCCCAAGTGGTGCCCGGTGGGAAACAAAACGTGACAGTCAGAACACTGCATAGGACGCCTAGGGTAAAATGCATTTTATTTTTCAAAATATCTTCGTTTAACGGAAATTATACCCTTACGTTTGATTGCGTCGCTTTTTGACGCAACGTCCGCGCCGTACATGCTTTTCAAGGAATCGCTTGTAAAAGTACGTCTTTTTGCAATTCGTGCACTCATATACGGGCCCCTGGGTGCCATGTACGCTCTGCATATGTGCTTTTAGAATTTGCTTCATCTCAAAGATTTGGAGACAATCCGGACATTGGTAGCCACGCAACACAGTCTGATCCATGCCACCGTAAGTAGGAATGCTATCGATGTTGCTTCCGCCGACCACCAATTCATCGCCTGGTGTTAATAGTTCTACTTCAGGCATGAGCGGCAACGGATCATCATCATCATCAGCGCATTCGTCCGAATTCGCTCCGCTATTGCCCGCTCCTGAATTCTTATGGGGACCGTTTATTTTACTCAATTGTTGCTGCATATATTCGTGCATCAGTCGAATCGAATGAAAATCAAATGGTTGCTTGTAATAAGGAAACTTTATTTCTCCGTCATCCTCCTCGGTTATTGCACTAGCCGGGAGTCCGCTGGCACCGATATTCGAATATTCTTCATTGTCGCTGCCGCCATAGCACTCCATTGCGGCAACCTCAGGAACTTGTTCGGTGGAGTCGACTTCCTGTTGCACGACCGAAGCATTGCTCCCGGCTGAGGTTCTACTCTCGAACTTTTGTATGAGCAGTTGTTGTCGAAAGAAATTGTCGGCATCTTCACACTTTTTCTTGAAGAGACACGCAGATATCGCATTTTTGGCACATGTTACACACACTTGTTGCGGTAGGGTGTCACCTTTTTCAATCTGCAACAACAAAACATATTTATACATATGTATGTATATATGGAGTCACTTAAGGTTTTAGGAAAATGTTAAAGAAAATAAGAAAAAAGGTAAGTGCGCCTGGGCCACACTGGAGACGTAAAACTTACGTTACATACATACATATCTATTTTGTCTCATAACCAATATACATACATACATATGTACATACATACCTCCATCTGCTATTGCTTAAGGTTATATTTGTTGTCTTTTTTCTATCTAGATCCCTACCTCTACCCCTGTTCGGTCTAATTACATTTATGTTATTCTGTTTTCCTTTATCTTAATTTTTATCTTTATACTCTATCGATAACAAAATCGATAGTAACATCCAATAAAATATCGACAAATATGGATAAAAAAAAATCGATTAATACTAAAAAAATCAAACAAAACAATAACAAAATCGATAAAAATATCGATAACAGAATCGATAAAAATCGATAACAAAATCGATAGTAACATCCAATAAAATATCGACAAATATGGATAAAAAAAATCGATTAATATTAAAAAAATCGATAAATATCGATAACAAAATCGATAAGTATCGATAACAAAATCGATAAAAATATCGATAACAGAATCGATAAAAATCGATAACAAAATCGATAAATATCGATAACAAAATCTATAAAAACATCGATATAAATATCGACAAAAATATCCACAACAAAATCGATAAAAATATCGATACCAGAATCGATAAAAATATCCACAAAAAAATCGATAAATGTCGATAATAAAATCGATAACAAAATCGATAAAGATCAATAACAAAATCGATAAAAATATCGCTAACAAAATAGTTAAAAATATCGATTACAAAATCGATAAAAATATCGATAAGTTCCGAAAATATCGATAGCAAAATTGATAACAATATCGATAAAAAATCGATAACAAAACCGATAAAATTATCGATTATTTTATCGATAAGTCCCTAGAATCCCGAAAATCTCTAAAATACCAAAATAGTTCTCAGATTGAGTCTCTGTGTCTCTCTTCACATCCTTTCCTCTTTAATTACCTTTATTTTAATCTTTCTTCCCCTATCTTCATCTTTACTTTTATCGGTATCCTTATCCTCCTCTTTGTCTTTACTTTTTAACCGACTTCCAAAAAAGGAGGAGGTTATCAGTTCGTCGGAATATTTTTTTTTTTTTTTTTTTTTTTTTTTTTTTTGATGTATGTTACCGCATAACTTTGGACCGCGTCAACCGATTTCGATAATTCTTATTTATATGGGAGTTGAAGTCGGTTTTTTTTTTTGCTAAAAATTACTAGTATGTTTATCATTTTCTTCATCTACATATTCCCTTTCACCTTTGCCCGTTTAAATTTACCTTGGTTTTCATTTTTGTCTTTATCTTTACGCATTTTTGTTTTTGTTTTTATTTTGGCTTTATCCTTTTCTTTATCTATGTACGTAGTCACCTTTACTTTCATTCTTGTATTGGTCTTTTTCTAAGTGTTATTCTTTAACCTTTTATTAGCAAATTTTTGTTAAATTAATGCCATATGCATACACACAAGAAGCACTTGTTTCAGCCCCAACCATTTCCGTTGCATCATTTCCGTTGCACCATTTCCGTGTGCAATTTCCGTTGAATTTTCCAACTTACTCCCAACCAACCAACCGCCGCTAAAGAAGTTTCACTTCAAAAAAACATCTCAATTAATATAGGCATTTAGTGAAAGGGATTTAAATAACCGATTCGAAGTATTCAGAAATTTAGGGAAAGAGTGAATCGAGCAGATGTTTACCCTAACCTTTTCAGATGCCCAGACCCCGAGATTTAAAAATAGAATTATAATTTTTTTACTTTTGATGGTTTTAATTATTATTTGTTAACAAAACTTAAACTTAACAAACAATTCGTTAACCCTGGAAGACCATGATTATTCTGAGAATTTTTTCTTGTGCCGAATTTCCACTAGGCATTGAAATGACAAAAAATTGATGCCATTTAAAAAAAATGCCATGTGGAAATTGAACTTATGGACTATTTTTTTAATGTAATGACACGATAACTTTTTAATGCCCGACTTTGTCATTTGTCATTTTTGACATTTAATGCCTCGTGGAAATCCAGCGTTGGAGTTTTCTTAAGCTTCATAAGTAGAATATGTTCACACAAAACTGAAATTTTTAAATACTTCGTTATATTATTAAACGTGCGATATGTATGTATGCAAGTTCTTTGGAATACGACAAATTGTTGCATGAAAAAAAATGTATAAAAATTTAAAAAACTTTCCCAAACTCTGAGATTTTAGTGGCAAACCCTGTGCCCAGAGATTCGACCCGAAGCCCCTGAATCTCAGGGTGAAAAATACAAAGTGGCAACCCTGAGCAGATGTCTNAACGTGCGATATGTATGTATGCAAGTTCTTTGGAATACGACAAATTGTTGCATGAAAAAAAAATGTATAAAAATTTAAAAAACTTTCCCAAACTCTGAGATTATAGTGGCAAACCCTGTGCCCAGAGATTCGACCCGAAGCCCCTGAATCTCAGGGTGAAAAATACAAAGTGGCAACCCTGAGCAGATGTCCTTTTAGTAGAGGCTTAGATAATAAAAATATAAAATTGTCAAGCCCATGATTCAATAATACAAGGTTAGATAATTATTGACAGCCACGGTTTGACTTTCCCTTACAAAAGGTTGCATTTACGAAGGACGGAGAAAGGGGAAGAATGAAATCTCTTGGTGCGAAAATGGTAGTAGAAAAGTACGCAAAGTAGGCAATTAGTAGTGAAATTCCGTTTGTAAATTCTAATGTATTTGCAGGAAATCTGGCATTTTAAACGAAATATTGAACGTAATATTGATATATCTACGTGAATTACGTAATTTCTCTGCTATTTAGCTGTATAAAAGCTGCAAAAGGACTCAAAATTAAAATAAAACTACTATGAGATTTATGTAAACATCCAATTTAAAAACAATTTATGTTTTCATCAGTTAAATATGCTTCATATGCATATACAAATAAACATATTGCACAAAAGCTTATACTTCTATTTAACACCAAAGCTACACTTTTTCCAAGTAAATTTGCAAAGAAGCAACACGGTGCCACTGCTAAGGGAGCGGTGCGAGAGAGACAACTGTCAGTTTATCGAACCTTGTATTATTGAATCATGTGTCAAGCCAAACTTGTTATTTTTGAATTCAAACTCAAACCTTCTAAACTTGGGACAACATGCTGTTTGACAGCTAATTGTATCATGTCGTTCAGAAAGAGCAAATCTTATCGCTCACCGATCACTGCCAATGCCAATGACTGACATCTTTCAATGTACAACGTCTTTAAGATGAATTGATGGATATATGTACATAAATATATACCCGTAGTTTGGCTAAGTTAAGCTAGGTTAGGTTATAGCCCAGTTATGCATACTTGCACTGCTACACCATTTTTTAGGTAAAAATCAAAACCCAACAGAATTCTACATGTTAAGTGCTATGCGTTGGGTAACCGCTTACACGCAAAGCCCATTTAACAGATTCTTATATGACAACTCTCATGCAACGTTAAGTATGCATAACTGGGCTATTAGAATTACTCACCTAGAATTAGAATCAATTGGTCAATGAGGTCATAGTGAAATGAGCATAGGCGAGCACCTGATAGGGTCGGAAAGAGATAGGCATGCTCAGCGCAGGGCACTTGCTTATGGAATTCTGCCAGCGTTGGGCATGACTGCTTTAAATCGTTTCCTCGTCGCGGTAGCTGCGGCAGAAGTCATGTGCCTTTCAATCAAGCAGTGGCCGGTGATAATTTCAGTGACTTGCCTAAGTGAAGGACGTTCTAAACCCGTGCCGGCCGCCCTAATACTAAAACATCTGCATAAGTGTGTGTGTTATGCGCGTCCCCGTAGCGAATGTCTTGCATTAGTCACTTAAGTGTCTTGTACGGCCGTGTTAATTTATAAATGACTTTGGGCTCCGCTTATATAGAAGTCGTTCATGACTTTTTCATACAAATGGTAATTTAGTCGTTGATGGCCTCTGCATGATTTTGTCATGCAGTGATCATTAATAACATTCGAGCGACAATGGGTCGTATGAATAAAAATAAGCAATTGCTTTTTCTTAAAATTTCAGACCTTTCACTCGATTTATTCAAACAAAAGTGAAGTAACAGGTATGAAATATTAAGAAAAAGCAATTGCTCAGTTTTTATTCATACGGCCCAATGTCCTGCAATGAAAAAGTTTATAAAAGACCGCTGCAAGACAATGTCTGTTATAAGTCTTTGATAGGAATACACCTGAATCACATTTTCACCAGTGTCATTGTCAGCTATATGTCGTTTAGGATTCACAGCAAGTGCGACGATGTCACTAAATCCTCATTAGTGACGGTGCCACCAGTGACCATTTTCGCTAGTGGGGTGAGAGGCGAAAGCATAACTTCGTGCATACACATCGTTAGCGTTGGTGTGAAAACACGAACAAAAAACTACACAATGTGCAAGTTTTGGCCGGCATTGTTCTAAACGAGTGGGCCGTACCATTTCTTGTCGAAGCTGGGCCGGGTCGGAGGATTTTTATTTACTCTTTCGGATAAGTGTGATTTAAAANTGTGAAAACACGAACAAAAAACTACACAATGTGCAAGTTTTGGCCGGCATTGTTCTAAACGAATGAGTGGGCCGTACCATTTCTTGTCGAAGCTGGGCCGGGTCGGAGGATTTTTATTTACTCTTTCGGATAAGTGTGATTTAAATCATCATTTCCCTCCTGAAAGAGGACATGTCAGTTAGGTACCGAGGGTTACATTCGGCCTAGAACCTGAACCATAACATTAATTTCTTTTGAATACTGCGATACACCCGAAACAAGACCTGAAAGTCCGGTACATATACACATATAAATTCAAGACCGTATTTTTGCTTAAATTACAAATTTCGAAATTTTTATGCAATTGCATTAGGTGAGGAACCAAATTTTTTAAAAAAAAATTATT